CTCACTAACTGGCGTCTGCCTCAGAATCCGTGCACTCCTGTTCCCATGCCACCTCTTCTGGGATTCTCCCTCAGATTGCCAGAAAGACCTTGTAAAATGAGAACTACAATGATTCCATGATCTCCTCGGGAGAACGTTTCAGTGGCTCCTCATTGCCATGATGGCAAAATCCAAGTGTCGTCAACGTGGTATTCCAGGTGCTGCCTGCATTCCTGCCTCTTCTCCCACTACTTGCACTCAGCCATCCTCACTGCTTCCTCTCCATTCCCAACTCTTAGCATTCTCCTTCTCATACCTTTCCACTGAAATTGGCTGACTCAAGAACTGAGGAGATTAGCATGTAGGAGGTTTACTAGGGAGTGCTTCAAGTTCAACAATATAGAAGGGAAAGGAAGGAAGCAGTATTGGACAGAAGTCAAACTGCATAGGGACCTCAACAGAGGCCTCAGCCATTCCTTCCAAGAGTTTAGATGAGGTGATTCTTCAAATCTATCCAAAGTTGGGATGCAAGGACCAGGCTTATCCCCAGGTCTACCAGTCATTGGAAGCCACCCTGGAAAGTCATTGGAAACTACTTGGGCACAGTGGCTCTCTTCGGATGAGGCAGTCTCCAAAGAACAGACAGCTGAGGGCAGTCTGCCAAGTCATTAAAATAATAATTTACCATTTTGGTAGAGATGTTGTGCTTACTGATGGCTGTGATACCAAGTCTAAAGGCAGGGGGAGTAAATTCCATTATGTGTGACCCAATCGGATTCCCCTTCCTCAGGAAAGGACTTTAGGCCAACACCTTCATTCTACAGATGGGGAAACTGAGGCCTCAGAGAATCTCAGTCAGCTATCTCAATCACAGTCTTATAATAAATAGCTAATATTTGAGCATATAATTTTTTCTAGGCTTGTACTAGATGCTTTAGATGCTTTATCTAACTAAACAACCATGACAATCCTACGAGGTAGGTGCCATTATTACCTTCATTTGATACACATGGAAATAGGTTTAGAGCAGCCAAATGAGTAATTTCTCCAAGATTACACAGCTATTAAGTGGTGTGTCTGGGATTTGAACCCAAGTCATTCTGACTCCAGAACCCATAACTAGAAACCATTAAGATGAATTACTTTTTCTCTGTGCATTAAACTAGCATACTCCACCTTGTATACCAGGGAATGCTATGTACATGTTTATATGTGTGTATATATGTGTGTGTGTTATTGCTATACATGTTATGTTGTTGCTAACACACATAACAGATTTTATATGAAGAAAACTTTTACGTGAAAAATTTTGTGTATATTTTACACATATATATGATGGGATTTATTTTTAAGAATGAATACAACACTACCACATAAAGCACAATATTTATTTTCTGTTTCAGGGTAAGAAGATAGGCAAATGTGTTTCTAGAGAGAAAATTAGTTTCATATTAGCTATAAATCAGAGAATACACAAGTAATTTTCAGCTTCCATGTCCATTGCATGCCAGGTTCTCTGAACCTGGTGGCCTTGCTCCTTCCAGAACTCATGTCTCTTCAGACAGAAGCTTTCGGTTCCAACCAAGAAGGGTATGCATCTGAATGCCTTTCAGCAAACCTGAAGGGCTCTCCTCCTCCTTTCCCCAAACTACCAGGTCTGTAAGGGAACAGCCTGTCCAGGAAGGTGGTCCCCACTGAGTTTATAAAACACCTTCCCTGAGACCTGAGAAACCACTAAAGTAGATTTCTCTTTTCTCTCCTGCTCCATTAAAATGAAACCTCCATGAAAATGAAAAAGAATCTGAAATGTAAAGATTTCCCGATGTCGAAATGGTGTTAAATTACAATAGCATAATGTGGTCCAAGAAATTCTAAACTGTGTCAGAAACTGTAGATTAATTTGTTTAACAAACATTCATTGTATTCCTACCAAATGCCAGGCCCTGGGCCAGATGCAGGAGGCTGCAGTGTTTTGGGAGTTTGCCATTTAATACAGTACTTCTCAAATATTAGTCTGGATAAGAATCACTTTGGAAACGTGTTTAAAATGCATGTTCCTAAACCCCAACCCAGTTTCTGATTCATCAGATGGGACTAGGGCTTAGGAACCTGGAATTTTAGCCACTCCCTAGATGATTCTAAAGCAGCTGGTCCTCAGTTGTATCTTGAAAAACATTGACCTAGTATGTTTTTAAGTTTTGATCAGCCATTTAATCAAGCCACTTAAACTCAGGACTTCAGGAGGTTAGAAGAGTTACATGACCTCTAAATTCTTCAAGAAACCTTAAAAAGACTTCTTAGAAAGGCTTTCTATGCAAGAAGAGCACACCAATATGACACAATTTCTTTTCAAACAGGAGAAAGACACTGTGTATAATCATATGGCTTATGTGGCTGAAGAGAAGAAGTTAAAAGGTTATCATTGGAGCGATTCAAGAAGGGGTGTGTGTGTGTGTGTGTGTGTGTAAATTATCAACTTGTATAATTAAGCTTTGTGTACTTTACCCTGTGTTTACCACATGGATATTAAAATTCAATTTAAAAATAATCATTTATAAGGATGTGTAAGACCAAAGAGGGTAAGGGGTTTAAAGATGTCATTCTAGACAGAGGTACAGGGAAAGAGTTGGGACAGTGGCAGGAAAAACAAAAAAAACAGGAAGGAGGGAGAAATTCAAACTTCTTGATGAGGGCACCAAGGAAATCCTCAGCAGCTGGTGTAATAGATGGCTAGATATGGACATTAGCAGATGTGGGTGCAAGTAGGCTAAAGAATTCAGATACCGTGATCCAGACACTGTGGGCACAAAAAGAAGGAAAGGAGGAAGGAAGGGAGAAAGGGAAGAGGGAAAGAGGGGGCAAAGGCGGAAGAGAGAAAAAAACTGAAAGAAGAGGCCTCTGGCCCTAGGGGGAGCTTACAATCTTGGGTTCTGAGCAGCCATGAGGCTTTGAGCAAGTTATTTGCTCCAGTCCTGTATATGAGTCTTTAAAATGGAGCTGGACCTCTCAAAGCCACCATGAGGAACAGTAGAATGGTGTATGTGAAATGCTATTTGTAAACTATAAAGGGTTGCTAAATGCTACTTATTAATACATTCTGGCTGAAGGTTAGACCAACTGCAAGTGTGGATATGAGCATGTGTCCCATTTAGCTCTCCAAGTGACTTCCCACATCTTTCCTGAACCTGACCCCCAAACTCACAGGGGTTTGCTAAGAGGTTTTTTTCCCCTTTTCTTTTCTGCTCTGAAACAATTTGGCTGTTGCTTTGTGCAGGCTTGAGCATCAGATTCCTTTCAGCTCCCCCCTCCTGCAGCTGTTCCTCCTTCCACCTTTCCCCAGGCAGGCCCAGCTATTAGCCTAGAGGCTACCTGCCTCCTCCTCCAAGGCTTGTGAGTCTCCAGTTGGAAGCCAGAGGCCTCCAGGGACCAAGGCAGCTTACTGGAGGCCCTTGGGGAAGGAGGGAAAAGAAGATAGTCACTAAAATTAAATGAATTTTCTATAACTGTTTTTTAATTAAAATTGCAATTCTTTTTCTATGCAGAAGAGGCTCTTTAAGAACAATTGCACGCCCTGAGTGGCAGGCAAAGAGCTCAGCAGCTCTTCCCAAAGCCAGGGAGGGAAGGGAGGTGAGAGCAGAAGTGATGGGGTGACTGGTCCTTCCCTCTTTCAGGGCTAAGAAAGCCAAAAGGAGAAAGGGCAGGAAGATGGAAGGAGGGAGCTGCTTGGTGACTTCCCAGGCTGAGGACCCTGGGAGAGAAGGCTGAATGTATTGGGAATTCCAAGCTAGGATTTTGTGTTTTCTTTTGTCCCAAAAAGTTATGCCACCTTCTCCCTTCCTTCTCACCCCTGGAGGGCCCCAGCCACAAGCCTTGAAGCTGCAGTGAGAGCCACCCCACTGCCTTGGCCTTTGGGACCCCTTGAGCAGGAGAAGAAAACCAGAAAACCAGAGAGAGAGAGAATGAGCGCAAGAGACCGACCCGGAAGGAAGAAGTAATGGAGGAGAGAGACAGGGGGAACTAGATCGGAGCCCACACCACTGAGAGACAGAACTCCTTAGAGGAAGCGCAGGGATTTACAGGACCGGAGCACAGAAGAAAAGAGTAGAAAAGGAAAAGCAGTTTCAAGCAAAAGAAAGGAAGGAGGGGCGGACAGGGAGGGGAAGAGTCAAGAGTAGCGAAGCTGAGGGATCTGCAGCAACTTTGAGAAATAAAAGTGAACTGTCTGTGGGCGGCTGCTGTGATCTCAGCAAAAAGCCCAGCTCAAGGCTCAGGGATTCCGCCGCCCACACTGTGCCCCGCCTTATTTTGGATGCCTCCAACTGCAGCTTCAGGCACAGTACACGAGTAGGGGTTGTAAGGCCTGGTTAGTGCCGGTGCTGCACGGGAACAGCGGATCCCTGCAACAACCAGGTGTGCGGGCGCTACAAGAAGGAGCCGGGGCCGCTGCGCCGGCTGCGCGGACTTCGCCCGGTGCTGTACACGCTTTAGGAGAGCGTGTCCTGAACTGTCCTTCCTGGCCCTCCTCGCTTCCCAAGATTTGTTTGCAACGTCTACATCCCTCACCACAGCATAAGCACTGGGGCGAGGTGGGGCGAGAGGTCTCTTTGCAGGAATTAATATCGATTTCAGTCTCCTGCTTCCTCAAAGTTTCTCTTTGACATTGGCGAGACTTATTCTAAGTCAGAAGAAAATAAAACCTTGCCTATTCTGGGCCCATGATTGCACAAAATCCAAAATGCTGCCGGCATGAAGATGCAGCTGGAAGACTCTAGAAACGTAGCATTAGGAGGCAGGGACTTTATAGTGTCCGGAGATAAGTTCCTAAATAAAGAATTACGCAGTGGGAAATGAAGAAGGAGGGTCTGAGGGGCCGACCTCAGAGGTACAGACAGAGAAATCGAGAGCGAAACACTCAAGGAAGTGGAACAAATCGTCGTAGCCAGGCGTCTGCCTCTCTGGAAACCCGAAATCCGCCCAAACCTCATCCCAGGCGCTCACGGTACCAGTTGCAGGGCCCCGCACTATAGGGGCTGCCACCCTCTGCCCCCGGAGTCCCCACGCCGAGACTCATCATTTGCTGGCTCTTTCTTCCTTTTCTTCTTTTGTTTTTTTATCCTTCAAATACAAGACAAAAATACACCTCATTTATCATCATAGATATATATATTTCACTCTCACCACATAAATACAAAACATCCAAATATCCAAAACATTCAGAACAAAGTTAGTAGCCTGGATTCAGTGACACCTACCCGCGTTTGAATCGTTCATTATTTTCTTCACTATTTGCCTAGAAAAAAAAAAAGATGAAAAAGAGGGGGGAGTTTCCGACGTAAATAATTTACAATAAAATTACTATTTTAAAAAATGCCTTTCGCTTGCTTCAGATGGACGAATACATTCTAGATACTGCGGCACCTCGCAGTCTGGGTCTGTGAATTTGGTTAAAATGTGGGTGGCCGTGGCTGTAGGGACGATCGCTGCTGCGCAGGGTAAGGAAAGAGGGTGTCGCGGTTCGTGTTCTGATTTGGGACCACTGAAACCCTAAGACTGGGGAGGCGAGGGGAGTGTCTTTCCTATCAATCACACAAGACGCTGTCTGGACTCTGAGACTACTGCTAGAGGAGGCCCGACCGCCCAGCGGCGTCCCTGTCTCCCCTTCCGCAAAGAACTGCTCAGAAATCCAGCCGTTTCCTGCGTGCAGGAAAGGATTTGTGAATCCGGGAGTTTGGGAGAAGAGGCAATGAGTGCTGACTCGTTTTCCAAGCCGAGCGATTGTGCCCAAAGCTACGCGCCTGGGAGGCCGTAGGGTGAAGCGCCGGCGCCCAGACTACCGCCGGCAGCCGCTTTGCTCTTTCCTGGAGGAGGGAGAAGCTGTCGGCCACCGCCCCGAACAGCCTCGGAGAAAAGATTCTGAGTTTTCTTTGATTAGCGGCGTTGGCTTTTCCTTTGCTTTTCCCCCGTTAAATTCCTGTTTAAGGTTACAATACCCAGAACCTTAATTTTGCATTGCCCTGTGGGGCATTCTCTATCCTGAATTTTCTTACACCTTCCAAACTTCATCATTACGAGTATTTAAAAACTGGTTCCACTTCATCTGGTTTTACGTAGCAATTGCTTTTATTGCTGATTAGATCAAATTTATTAGTGTCGTTGCCTACCAGGACGTTTGTTACTGTTTCCTGGGGTCCGGGGTGGTTGTGATTGGAGTTGCCCTAAAGGGGGGAAAAACCGCAGGATTTGTCCCGCCAGGAAGCTGTGTTCTGTATCGACTATCCCGAGACGTCCGCAAAGCGGGGCCCAGGGGCTCCCACAAGCCCTGGTTTCTCTGGCAAGAGGAAGGAACGTCCTCCCTTTTTGGTCTAAAGAAACCTGGAAGCCCCTGGGGTCTGCGCGCAGTTTTCCTCTTTCAAATATTCCTAGGAATAGTCGGCAGCGGCAGCAGCCGCGGATCTAGAGCAAACGCCCTGTGCTTTGGACTTAGAACCAGTCTTTTCCCTCCTGGGCTGGGCACGGGGTCAGGGCATCAGGTTGACTAACTCGGGCATTTTTCCCAATTCTTTGGATCGCTCCTGGATTCAGAAGGAAGTTGGGGGTTGGGGAGGAATCTCGGAGGAAAGGTAGAAAAAAAAAATAGCCCGAATGAGATAAAATTGGTAGCAGAGCCTGGGTGGGAAAGGAGAGCTGTCAGAGGCCTGGTGGGAGCCAGGAGCCCAGCGCAGGAGCTCTGGGCACCTAACGCGCGTGAGTCCATAAATATCACCACAATAGATAGTATAAATATAAATACAGGGAAACACTTAAAATCAGTCCAGCGCTTTTTTCTCGGCCCCTTCTTTATTGTTGGTCCGGGAGTAAGGCTCGAAGGCCGAGGAGCTCAGATATCGGGCGGAGAGTTCTTCCAAATTCCCAGCTAGCGAACCAGCCATTGTTAACGGGGCGGAGGACAGGCGGCTGGCGACGGAGCCGAGCAGCGAGGGCACCGGCAGGCTGAAGAGGCTGTGGCCCGCGG